TAGGTGCGTTCCAATAAGTCTTCCTACCAATATGACCATGTTGCGAAAACAAGGTCAAACAACCACTATATTTGGGAAGTTTAAAATAATATTATAACTCTAGAAGGAAACTGATTTATGTTATTCAACCTTGGCATATACCGATCTACTTTTTGACCCATCCATGAAGGTAACTCAATTCTCTATTTTAAAATCGATTTGCCATCTACAGCGAATTCATACTGTCTAGTTATTAAATAGGAAAGAATTTATTTGAACCCCGGTACCTAAATGTCTCTACAGAAAGAAAAAACTATTATTATACAGTTATAATAAATTAAGTATAAATATATTCTAATTTATTGCAAATCAATGCGAATTCATTTAATCGTTCTGCTCTTACGATTGTGATTATTTATTTCGCGCGCTGGTCGATGCTGCCTTTCGACCCAATTAATGGCAGATAAATGTGGGCGTCTTAGATTCATTGAGCTTGAGAATTATAAGTCCTACAAGGGGAAACAAATCATTGGCCCTTTCAGCACATTTACTGCTATTATTGGACCAAATGGCTCAGGAAAGTCTAATTTAATGGATGCTATAAGTTTCGTGCTGGGGGAACACACCAGGCATCTGCGTGTTCGAAGACTTGGAGTAATATCTAGATACTTTTACTATATTATTACCATAGGATTTGATTCATGGTTCTGTGGTAGGTAAGCCCGCTTCAAAATCAGCCTCCGTTACTGCTGTCTATGAAATGCCAGATGGGGAGCTTACCAGGTTCAGTAGAGTTATTCATGGAAACGCCTCGGAATACCGTATAAATGGCCAGGTATTTGACTTATTTTTTATTTGCCTACTTTAGCCCGTAAGAATCGACGAATACTCCGACGCACTCGAAAAAATTCATATATTTATGAAAGTGAAGAACTTCCTTGTTTTTCAGGGAGCCGTTGAAAGTATTGCCATGAAAAATGCTCGAGAGAGATGTCAAATGTTCGAGGAGATTAGCAAGTTAGATTCTTAAAATGCGTTTAATATTTGCTCAAGGTCAGCAGATCTGAAAGAGGACTATGATTTAGCTAAAACTGAGATGCAAAAGTTGGAAGAAGATGCTGCCTTTAATTTAAATAAGAAGAAGGGCATAGTTGCGGAGAGAAAGGAAGCTAAGTTGGAAATTGATGAAGCCGAAAAATATAGAAGACTTCAAATGGATCTGGTGATTAGCTTTCCTCTTTTTCTATTCCAGCTTTGATAACATATTTTCATCCTATTTGTTTCATTTGTAGGCCAGCAAGCGCTTAGAACTGCATCTCTTTAAGTTGTATCATAACGATGTTGAATGTAAACGCGTAAAGGAAGAACTTAAGCATCGAGATGAACGTCTTCAAATTGAAAATGAACAAAGACAGAACATAGAAGAAGAAATGAAAGAAAAAAAGCGTGAACTTGGGAAAATAAATAAGGACCAATCTGCTCTTGACCAAGAAATAAAAAAATGTGTAGGTCTTTATGTAGCATAATTGACTTTTAGGATCAAAAAATTGGCAAGAAAAAGCCAGAGTATATCAAAGTTTCTCAGCTACTACGTCACATCTCAGAAAAGCATAAGGAATCAAAGTTTGTCATTTATTTTTATAGATTGTACCTATAGAAAGTCTCTAGATACCGCTAGACAACTCCATAGCAGCCATTCACAAGAGATTGATCAGCTTGAGTCAGAATATGAGAAAATATTAGCCCTAAAGGAGGAATATGAACACCAACAAACTAAGAAGTCTCTCGAGCAGGGGCGTAACCTTGAATTGGAAGAAAATCAGGTAAATGGACTGA